GTTTGATGCTAATGCAATCAGGACACGACACTCACAGTGAAAACATTCTGTCAGCAGAGAACACAGCCTTTTCATGTTGAATTGATTACTGTGGGATTCATTTACAACATATTTAAGTAATAGTTCTGTAACCAATTAAATTTACCCCCTTACTGCAAAATACAGTCGATCAGCCAAGACATGTTTGGTGTCTGAAGTTTGTTTCTTTAGTTTTAGCCCTGGTGCTACGAGGCTAATGTAGCTAAGAAGTTATAGAAGCTTTAAGCCCACCAATTAGCTGTCATCACACACCTCAAACCATATGGACATGTTCAGTAATCTCTAGTACACTCCATTATGTGATTTCTGACACTGTATGACTCACTGTTATCTATAAACATGGATTAAGTACGTTAGCATAAAGCTAAAAACAGCACCATTCATGTTTAGGCATGTTAGCAGGAGTAGAATTACGACCACCACATGCTGGACGCATCACATCTTACAGCGTCCAAAAATTTGATTGTTGATTTTATTGCTTTTAATGAGGTGAAGCTCATCAGTGCTTACATTTAGCATCAACGCAAGCTAGCGCTCAGTGACTCAAACCACTATTCAGTTTCTTAGAGCGTGACTCTGCACTCTGCTATGGCTGCATTAAATTAAAGCCATATTGAGATCACAGAAAGCCACATTGCTTTAAATTTACACCAAGAATGACAGTAAAGTCATTTAGATAAACAGACAAATGCTAAGAGTCTGCTACCTCAGCTAACATTACTAGCCTCTTCTTTTTCACATCATATCTTTCAGCTCAAAAGCAGCCAGCTTGTGAAGACGTAGTAAACTGAACTATGTGATAAATTAATTTTCATTTCATGACATATGTGCAAGTAGAGTGTAAAAATTGACTTTTTATTGATGCTCACACTTCAGCGAATTCTATGTAGCATAGCAGTGCATTGTGCTGTATTTGCCCATATGGAAGAAAAATATATGTACATGTTGTGACATGAAATACATGCTTAATGCTTAATACAATGCCAGTGTATCATTGCTTTCGGGACAAAACCTCATATCTACATTTTTGTTGTTTTTCATGTTTTGAAATCATTTTAAAAGGCCAGTTGTCTTTTATGTCGTGTCAACATTTCATGATGAACATACCAACAGAAATGGTTCAAAATTACTTGGAAAAAGAACTTTTCTCCATTAAATTCCATAAAAAGTTAAGATAGTTTTTCCTTGTCCTAAAAAGTTGCCGTTTTGGAGATATGCAGATATGTGACTATATTGAAATATATACACAAACTTTGACACATATGTCAAAACACATGGAACTATGTAACTTGAAAAAAATGGAAATATTTGGCCTTTACCTCTGTGGAATGTTTTGCTGGGAAAGGGCCCACCATTTTTTACTGAACTTCTGTGTTGTCTCGAGCTCATTGACGGCTCCATTATTTCATTGCTCCTTTTAAACACTGTGCCTCACAATTGAGCAGTTAGTGTGCAGGGCTGTGTGCCATTTGCGTGAGTGGTAGCCTTAGTGAACTGAACAATAATTTCAGGTGCATTATGAGAGAACATTACAGCCTCAACAGGGCACGTTTTGAGTGTATATTAGCAGTGAAGAGGAATGGAGATATTGTGAAATGTGTCTCGAGTGTGCTGTGTGGACAGAAGTCAGTCACTGTGTTGCTCTTGATTGCACTAAATTTAGAGATTTGGTGTCACTGCCAATTCTAAAATATTGGCTGAATATGTTGTTGGCTCCTTAAAAGTAACACCTCAGTCTGAGTGTGATTTACCCTGTTAAAATAAAAAATATGTATTAATAATAAAGTAGATAAACATATTTGAAGTTTTCTCAGATGGATGTTTAGTGACCTTATATAACTGACCAAAAAAAAAAATAAAATAAATATAAATGCAATTATTAACTAAAAAGAGAAAGTTTAATAAACTCTAAGTTGGCTTGGCAACGTCAGCTAATAACTCTTCAGAAAATAAAGCAGTTGCAGAACACTGTTGACTGTCGCTAGGGTATCACAGGTGGTTGCTAAGATGTTGCTACGCCATTGCTATGGTACCTTAGGTGGTTGCCAATGTGTTGTTAGGCCTGTTGCTGTGGTATCAGATGTGGTTACTAAGGTATTGCTAGGCCATTGCTATGGTATTACAGGTGGTTGCCAAGGTGTTGTTAGGCCGTTGCTATGGTATCACAGGTGGTTGCTAAGGTGTTGCTAAGCCTGTTGCTATGGTATCCAAAATAGATGCCAAGGTGTTGCCAGGCCATTACTATGGTATCACAGGTGGTTGCTAAGGTGTTGCTAAGCCTGTTGCTGTGGTATCCAAAATAGTTGCCAAGGTGTTGCCAGGCCATTGCTATGGTATCACAAGTGGTTGCTAAGGTGTTGCTAAGCTGTTGCTGTGGTATCCTAAGTGGTTGCTAAGGTGTTGTTAGGCAATGCCTATGATATCCCAAGTGGTTGCTAAGGTGTTGTTAGGCAATGGAAATTATATTCCAGGGGGTTGCTAAGGTGTTGCTAGGCCTTCGCTTCGCTGTCCCAGGTGGTGGCTAAAGTGTCATTAAGCCTTCGCTACACTGTCCCCGGTGGTTGCTTGGCCGTTGCTATGGTGTCTCAGATGGTTGCTATAGTATTTATAGTTTGTTGCCATGGCGTCCTAAGTGGTTATACAGTGTCAGAAACCAGATAATCAAGTCTATTAGAGATTGTTAATAAAATTTGACACAGTTTGAGGAAAACATGTGATGATTTAGGAGGGCATTTAGCACCATGGTAATTAATTTATGTATTAGCTACATTAGCCTGATAGCTCCACTGCTTTGGGAGAAATTGCATACGTTTAATTTTTGGCTGAACTATCGCTTTAATGCTGACCTGCTTGGTGAGAGGAGTTTTACAGGGGATGCAGAGAAAACCTCTAACAGTGGGAGTACAATACATCCCGTTATAACACTAATTTGTCACGGCTCACACCATAAGCCAAAGCTAAATTATCCACGTTTGTTTGTTTGTTTGTTTCCTAGTGCAGGTGTCAGGCAGTGAGACTAGTGATGTGCATCAAAATGAGCAGATTAGTGATTGACATCGCAGTGGGGAAAAAATAAGTGCAAATCTGGTGGCAAAATCTCTCACTTAGCATAACAGCAGTGAAAGGCCACATGCCATATGGAGTTTATTCAGCAGTGTTAAATTGAATGACGCATTTGTTATTGAGTAAAATAGTATCTCCATCCAGCTTGCATTGATTTAATACTGATTTAGCCTCTCCCAGATAGAACAGAGGCAGATATAACAACATTTGCAGGATGCTTCCACTCACTGGCCACTTTATTAGAAACACCTACCTTTTGGTTTCACACAATTCCCAGCAAAGCACTGAGGTTTAAGAACAGTCTTCCTCAGTGCTGTTTAGCGTTCATTAGTTTCTCCACGAGTCACTTCGCTAATCTCCATGCGTGACCGAAAGTCCTCTCTTCAACAGTCATTGATTTTTCTATTTGAGTCCAGGTGCTGGACATGCTTCGTGTGTCTCCATTACCTGCTGTGTTTTCTCTCTAGGAGAGGAGGCTGATGGCAAAGGGCTCTCTCTCTCCACTACATGCTAATTTCCGCCATATTAGTAGCTAATTGGAATCGATAGTGGGGAGCGGTGGGCCGTGCTTCTGCCGGCGCTCGGATACACTCTGGCCATTTTGGGTTTCACTTCTGTGCCGCTTACGTTTGTTAGAGCCGAGGTACTTTAATAGCCATGCAAATTAATGATCTCAGGCTAATTACTGCAGGGAGCTAGCGGCCAGTGGCTAATCTGAGTGCAGAGAGCATCTTTATTAGATAGAGACATGCTGTACATTAATTTGAATGGAAATGACCAGTTCCTTGTTCATGTGTGGCTTCTGTGTGTTTGCAATTTGCCTTTTGGTACGAATGCATCCATACGATCTTTTTTGTTGTTGCAGTAACTGAGCAATTTCTTTCAGAATTAAAAAAGTATCTGTCAGTTGGGAAAGCCCATACTAATGTTCTTTGTTGTAATACGGCAGTGATGTTACTATTTAATACGGTCATATCATATGTTATAAAAAATTGGAATGACATATTGACATAATTAAAATGGTTTCCTCTTTTCTGTTAAAAGCCCTCAGTGACATTCATAAAACATTGAAAGTAATAGGAAAAACACGATGTATTGTGTATTTAAATATACAATGTATTTAAATGTATAAATCTTCTAAGACAGTTAATTGTTCATTAATTCATTCATCCATCTATCCATCCATCTAGCTGTCTAGCTATCAAGCTCACTTATGAATCACCTATACCCACATTACATTGTTTCAGGGCATTTTCTCAGATTTGGGTCCAGCAGACACCTTTTACACAAATACAGCTAACATTAATCTGCTATTTTTTGCAATAGTTTACATTCATGCACAATACTGCAATATTTCTTAACTGTACTGCGATAGCTAGCATCTAGCTGTGTAGCTGGTTCTGCCTGTTTGAACTCAGCAAGTAGGAAACTTTTTAGAGAGTATTCTGTACTACATTTTATTAATTTGCAATCAACTTGAAGTATGTATTTTCTGTTTGAGGAGTGTTAAATCTGTGGCTCCACCTGCTGACTGGGGACAGAAAATGTTCTCTTTTTCTCTCAAATCTGCAAAAGTTGTTTAATGTACTGAATTTGTGTTTTACTGCTTTGCTATTTGTAGCAGCCAATATTTTGTATCACAATATATTTGTATTAAATATTTTCATTCAATAATGTATTGATCTGTAATATAAATGAAATTTCAAACTGTTAAAAAAATCCAAAATTTCTCGGTTTTCCGAAATTGACAATTATTGACATGAATTTTTAGTTTAATACATCTTTTTCTGATTTTTCACAGAACTGTTACTTAATAACAGGACTTTTTAACTAACTCTCTCTCACAATCTCCCTCTCTCTCTCTCTCTCTCTCTCTCTCTCGCTTTCTCTCTCTGCAGTTCGTTTTGATGACTGTGTGGGTAAGGACAGTTTGAGGATGGTCAGCAGCGATCCTCGGTTCAGAGTGGAATCGGATGGCTCTGTTTATACACAGAAAGACGTTTTAGCCAGTCTGACTGGTCCGGTCGAATTTACAGTTACCGCACAAAGCAACACCTACATCTGGGAGACGACCGTCCAGCTAGAGTTACAGGAACCAGAGGTAAGAATTCAAAACAAACACAAGCCTAAACACACACACACTCACACTTGGGGGCAATTTAGCATGTCCAATTAGCCTAGCCGCATGTCTTTTGACTGTGAGAGGAAACCCACACAGACACAGGGAGAACATGCAAACTCTGCACAGAAAGGACCCTGGTCACCCGGCTGGGGAATCGAAACCCAGGCCCTTCTCGCTACCCACTGCGCATGAACACAAAAACTTTAAGATGTGTCTAAAGGTGATAATTCAACTGCATCAATTTTGGGATGTGATAATTGATTCATATGTGCAAGTTTCAAAAATGAACTAATTTTCTGGCCAAAGTAAAAAAAAATCATCATAAAGCATAGCACTGCGTTGATGGTCTGTATTCCATTCATTTATCAATTATCATTTATCTGATTATTCTGTACTCAGTATAGTTTTGAACGTAATTCTGAATTATACCGAAAAATTCAAATCAAATGGAAATGTAGTAAAAATTGAAATTTTATAATTCAATGAATACTGGTCAGAAGAAATGCAATTTGATATTAACCCAAATTAAACTGTAGTTTCTGTCTTCGTTTACGGTCAGCAATTGTAGCAAAGGTAGATTTATACATACACATGGACATTTTCTGTGCTTGAACATGAACTTTAATCTTAAATTCAACAAATCTTTAAAGGTTGAATTTTATTTTGACAGTCTGAGTGTGTGTGTGTGTGTGTGTGTGTGTGTGTTATGTGTCTGAGAAATGCTCTGCTGAGACAGGCTTTTTCCCTTTTCCCTCTGACTGCTGGAGTCTCAAGACAGCTGTGCGAGCGTGCAGTGTATCTGTTTCAGAGAGGGGACAATGTTGCCCTTGACTGTCAAATTGTCGGATAGTGACGGTCAGTGAAGTCAGGCTGAGAGTTTGCCTTGACCACTGAAAGACGATACTGCTAGATAGTAAGAACAAGGACTCTGATTAAATAACACCATCACCCAGACAAAACACTGTTACAGCCCGTCTAGGTTGGCTGCACCATAAAATAACGTCTCCCAAAATCCCTGATTTCAAATCCCCAGACGAATTTGTCTTTAAATCTACAGCACACAACTCATCTTTCTCTACCAAACACTGTCATTTTTCACTATACACAACATCTTTCTTTACCAAACACCCTCATTTTCCACTATACAAAATATCTTTTTTTCCCAAATACCTACATTCTCAACCACACATCCACATTTTCAGCCGAACACATCATTCACCACCAAACACATCTTTCTCCGCCAAAAACCCTCATTCTCTACCAAACACATTTTTCTCCACCAAACACCTTAATTTTCCACCAGACACATCATTCTCTATCAAACACCCTCATTCTCCACCAAACACATCTTTATCCACCAAATACCTATATTCTCCACCAAACACCCTCATTCTCTACCAAACACACTGATCTCCACCAAACACCATCATTCTTCATGAAACACCTCATTCTCTACCAAACATATTGATCTACACCACACCCCCTTTTTCTCCACCAGAAATATAATTCTCCGCCAAACACCCTCATTCACCATCAAACACAACCCCATTATCTACCAAACACCCTTATTCTCCACCAAACACCCTCATTCTCTACCAAACACATTGATCTCCACCAAACACCCTCATTCTCCACCAATGTCATTCTCTACCAAACACATCTATATCTACCAAATACCTACATTCTCCACCAAACACCCTCATTCTCCACCAAACACGTCTTTACCAAACACCCTCATTCTCTACCACATAAATCTTTACCAACACCCTCATTCTCCACCAAACATATTGTTCTTTACTAAACACCTTCATTCTTTACCAAACACATCTTTCTCCACCAACTGCCTACATTCTCCACCAAACACATGTCATTCTCTTTTAAACACCCTAATTTTCCACCAAACACAAAGAATACCAAACACTGTCATTCTCCATCAAACACAACCTCGTTCTCTACCATACACCCTCATTCTCCACCAAACACATTTTTACCAACACCCTCATTCTCCACCAAACACATTTTTACCAACACCCTTATTCTCCACCAAACATATTGTTCTCTACCAAATACCCTCATTCTCTGCCAAATACCCACTCATTCTCTACCAAACAGCCATGTTCTTCACCAAACACCATCATTTTCCACCAAACACAACACTGTTTAATAGCAAACACCTTAATTCTTTACCAAACACATACTAAATACTTGCATTCTCCACCAAACACGTAATTTCTCCACCAAATACTTACATTCTCCACCAAACACATTGATCTCCACCAAAAACCCTCATTCTTTACTACCAAGCACATCTTTCTCCACCAAACACCCTCATTCTCCACCAAACACATCTTTACCAAACACTCTCATTCTTCACCAAACACAACATTTTTACCAACACCCTTATTCTCCACCAAACATATTGTACTCTACCAAACACCCTCATTCTCTACCAAACACGCTCATTAATTCTCTACCAAACAGCCACATTCTCCACCAAACACGTCATTCTCCAACAAACACCCTCATTCTTTACTACCATACACATCTTTCTCCCCAAAACACCCCCATTCTCCACCAAACGCATTGTGATTCTCCACCAGACACCCTCATTCTTTGCTACGATACACATCTTTCTCCACCAAACACCCTCATTCTTTACCAAACACATCTTTACCAAACACCCTTATTTTCTACCAAACATTGTTTTTTACCAAACAGCCACATTCTTCATCAAACACCATACTTTTCCACCAAACACATTAATTCTTTACCAAACACATCTTTCTCTACTAAATACCTACATTCTCCACCAAACACAACGTCATTCTCTACCAAACACCCTCATTCTTTACCACCATACACAACATCTTTCTCTAACAAACATCCATGTTCTTAACCAAATATATTCATTGTCCACCAGATATAAGTTTTCACCACCAAGCAGCCTCATTCTCTACTGAACATCAACATTCTCTACCAAACACTTACCCACTTTGGTTTGGTTTGTGTGTGAGTGTGCACATGCAGGAGTCCTAGAGTCACCCCAGATTGTTTTCTTGTGTCAGCACTTCAGTCCTCCAGGTAAGTGTGTGTCTGTGTGATGGGGAGACTCTGCCAAAGTCGCCCACACGGAGACACACACACACACACACACACACATACACACACGCCCATGCCACCTTGTCTGATGGCGGCTGGCAGCCCAGGTGCAGGGGGTGTAATTTATTTACCAAGTTTGTCAGGCCACACAGGTAAGAGTCTAAAAATACCCAGAATTGATCTGCCGTCAACTCTGTTTGGCCTGAGAGAGAGAGAGAGAGAGAGCGATAGAGAGAGAGAGAGATAGAGAAAGAGAGAGAGAGAGGAAGAGAAGAGAAGAGAAGAGAAGAGAAGAGAAGAGAAGAGAAGAAGAAGAAGAAGAAGAAGAAGAAGAACTTAGAGAACCTTTAGACGTGTAGCAGTAGACAAAAAAAAGTCACAAGAAATTGCCTTTTTTATTAGGGCTTACTAAGACCTCTCTATCTATTTGCTTGTTTTGTTGGGTTTGGTTCAGTTTGGTGTTTGGAGATTGGTCTGGTCTGGTTGGTTTGGTTTGATCTGGTGTGATTTGGTTTGAATTGTGTTGGTTTAATGTGATTTGGTCTGGTTTGGTTTAGTGCATTTGAGTTTGTTTTGGGTTTGGTCTAAGGTATCCCTTAACCACGTATAGGTTAAGGTTTGATTGGGTTTGGGTTTCAATTGATTTGGTTTAGTTGAGATTGGTTAGCCTGGTTTGGTCTGATTTTATTTGTTTTGGTTTCGTTTGGTTTGAGGTTTGGTCTGGTTGGGTCTAGTTCGATTTTGTTTGATTTGTGTTGGTCTGCTTGGTTTAAATTGGTCTTTTATGATTTGATCTGGTTTGGTTAAGGTTTGGATGTGTTTGGTCTTCTTGTTTTGATTTGGTCTGGTTTGGTTTTTATTTGGTTTGATCTGCTGCAGGTTTGATTTGGTTTGGTCTGCTTGGTTTGATTTGGGTTTGTTTTGATCTCATTTAGTATGGTTTCATCTGCTTTGTTTGTTTTGGTGTGTTTTGGGTTAGGTTGGGTTTGGTCTTGTTTTGATTTGGGATGGTTTGTTTTGTGTTTTGATGAGGTGCAGGTTCGGTTTGGTTTGGTCTGCTTTGTTTAATTTGGTCTGTTTTGGGTGTGGTCTGTCATGGTTTAATTTTGTCTGTCTTGATTTGAATTTGGTCTGCTAGGTTTGATTCGGTCTGTTTTTGTTTAGTTTGGTTTGGTTTTGATTGTGTTTTTTTGTCTGCTTACTTTGATTTGGTCTGGTCTGCTTTGGGTTTGGTCTACTAGGTTTGATTTGGTCTGGTTTGGATTGTGTTTTTTCTCTGCTTGTCTTGATTTGGCCTGTCTTGGTTTGTGTTTGGTTTGGTCTGTTGTTTTGATTTGGTCTGTGTATTTGGCTTGATCTGGTTTAGTCTGTTTCAATTTGGTTGGGTTTGATCTGTTTTTGTTAGATCTGCTTGGTTTCATTTGGTCTGGTTTGTTTGAGATGCTTTGGTTTGGTTGGAGTTGTGCTGCATTTATTGCTGCTTTCATTAGAAAAAGTAAAAAGAGACCAAAGCTGATCTCTAAGTTTTGTTAGCACAGCAGCATTTACATACACACACAGACCCTGAAACCACTCCACTCAGAGTGTGAGTGTGGCCTCCTCTGAAATCCTGCACATTTCTGTAAATCCCTCTTGTTCCTTCATTCCCACATTCACTTTCATGTCCGCCTTTGATGGCATGCCAGCACACACACCGCACACCTGCCAAGATCCCTTATTTTCACCCTAACATCACTCCCGCCTTCCTGTCCTCCAGTGTGCCGGACACCTGGGCCGCATGCTTTTTCATCCATGGCTCCGTTTATCCATCCTCACCAGACCGCTCCTCCATAATCTTTCTCTCAGGGGAGTCCTTTGCGGTGTTTTTTTTGCTCTCCAGCCGGGACCTGTGTGTTCTGGCAGCATTCCCGGCCCGTCCCTGCCTGCTGCGAGCGGAGATTCACCCGTTTAATCCAGCCAGGTGCACATCTGTCTGAGCAGCTCCAGCTGCAGAAAGCCCGTCCAGCTGGCGTCTCGGTAGGATCCGCCGGTCGCTCTGCATAGGGGTGTGGAACGAGGGAATGTGCCTTGGTGTGCTGAGTAAAAGAAGAGACTTTTTACGGGGCTAAAGTCAACTTGTCATTCGCCAGCTTCTTGTTTGAATTTTCCTGTTCCACCTTAAATGGTGCCTGAGACACCAGAATGTAACTGCTGCACCATTTAAGGCAGAACGGGAAAATTCGAATGAGCTGGTGAACGAGAAGCGACGTGAGCCTCGCGACTTTTTAGTGTTTGACAGTTTCTCGTTGCAGATTAAACGTATCAGGAAACCAGCAAATGCAAATAAGTCCATTTGTCTCCAAATTATCGATGTTCATCTTAAATCTTTCTCTTTGCCGTTTCATTAGCTACTAGCTAAGCGAGATGGTTTTCTGCATTGCTATGGTGACCAGCAGTCTGCGTGCCACCCTTCAGGGTTAAAGGGTGAATTAGCAGATACACATTAACTCCAGCGTTTAAGACCATTTATTGTTAAAACTGTGTTAGACCGATCAGCAGAGCTTTATTTTACTGCAGAGGAGGATTATTTTATTTTTACCTACAAATCTAATTCTGCTGTGGAGCAGAAGCCGCATGTTGCCGACCCCTGGCCAAAACCGAATGTTTAAAGACATTTTCAGTGATGAAGGTGAATAATGCTCTGTTTTCCCTTCTCCTACTCTCTCTCTCTCTCTCTCTCTCTCTCTCTCTCTCTCCTTCTCTCTCTCTCTCCTTCACTCCATCTCCTCTCCCCCATCCCCAACTTCAGACGCTACCTGCTGTTTGAAGCGGGCCGTGATTCAGAGCAAACTGAACATGACACTTCCTCCCAGGAGAGCACACACACACCGTATGCCACCAGCAAACACACACACACTCACACACACACGCACTCTCAGCCTTAATTCAGCCTTGAACTCAGCTCCCCCCGGACATCTGTCTAATGAACACAGCCTGAAAGCCTTGTTTTCACTGGCAGCTACAACAGCACCTTCATCCACATCACAGAGCTCGTCTCCAAGAAAGTGCCAGAAAACGTACAGCACTGCAGTAATTACAGCAAACTGCTCGCAGGACTGCAGACCCTCCAACCAGCACCTGACACACGCACTGCTCCTCCTGCATCCTCACCCTCCTCACCTTCTCCTTCACCTTCTTCACCTTCTGCTTCTTCACTTCTTCACCTTCTTCTGTTTCTCCTTCTTCTTCACCTTCTTCTCCTTCACCTTCTTTCTCTTCTTCTTCTTCTTCTTCTTCTTCTTTGTCCTGCTTCTTCACCCTCTGCACCTTCTTCTCCACCTGTTTTCTCTTTTTCTTTTTCTTCTTCTTCTTCTTCACCTTCCTCACATTCTTCTCCTTCACCTTCTTTTTCTTCTTCACTTCTTCTTCGTTTTCTCCTTCTTCTGTTTCTTCTTCTTTTTCTTTACCTTCTTCTTCAACTTCATGTTCTTTTTCACTTTCTTCTACACCTTAACATGTTTTTTCTTCATCTTCACAGTTCTTCTTCACCTTCATATTCTTCATTTCTTCAGCTTCTTTTTCTTCTTCTTTCTCCTGCCTCTTTACTTTTCTCACCTTCTTCTTCACCTGCTTTCTCTTCTTCTTATTATTCTTCACCTTCCTTACCTTCTCTTCCTTCACCTTCTTTCTCTTCTTCACTTCTATTTCTGTTTCTCCTTCATCTACTTCTCCTTCTATTTCTTCACCTTCTTCTTCACCTTTGTGTTCTTTTTCACCTTCTTCTACACCTTAACATTCTTTTTCTTCATCTTCACAGTTCTTCTCCTGCTTCTTCTTATTATTAATCTTCATCTGAACATTCTTCTTCTCATTTACCTTCTTTTTCTTGTTTTTACCTTCTTCACCTTCTTCACTGTGTTCTTCTGTTTCTCCTTCACCTTCTTCACCTTCTCCTTAAGCCTCTTTTTTCTTTTTTACCTTTCTCACCTTCTTCTCCTTTCCCTTATTTTCTTCTTCTTAAATTTCTTCACCTCCTTCATCTGTTTCTTCTTCACCTTCTTCTTCTTCTTCTTCTTCTTCTTCTTTCTCTCCCTGTAGACTGTAGACCACCACTCTCAACACCTGAACTATCTAAGTAAACTCTATAAACTATATAAACACCATAAACTATCTCTACTACTTTTCCTTCTGCTTGCCCTTCTTCTCCTTTTCCCTCTTCATCTTCACCTTTTTCTTCTCCACCATCTTCATCTTCTTCTTGTCGTTGTCTTCTTCTTCTTTTTCTTCTTCTTCTTCACCTTCTTTCTCTTCTTCTTCTTCTTCTTCTTCACCTTCTTTCTCTTCTTCTTCTTCACCTTCTTTCTCCTCTTCTTCTTTTTCTTCTCCTTCTTCACCTCAACATTCTTCTTCTTCTTCTTCTATGTCTTCTCCTTGTTCTTCTCTTCATCTTTCTTCTTTTCGGTCTTTTTCTTCTTCTCCTCCACCTCCTCTGTCCTTTCCTTTGTCATCTTTTTCTTCACCTTCTTCTTCTCTTCTCCTTGTTCTTCTCTGTGTCCTCTTTCTTCTTTTCCCTTTTCTTCCTCTCCTGCTCCTCCTTCCTCTTCTTCCCTTTTTCTCCTTCCTTTTTTATCTTTTCCACTTGTTCTCCTTCTTCTTCTTCTGCTTTCTTCTTTGTGGTCTGATCTGTTCCTCCTCTGTTGTTTCCACACCTCCTCCCTCCTGCTTTAATATGAAGTGGTTGTATCAGACAGACAGTGGAGGGAAAGTTAAATATAATATTGGGAAAGAAATTAAAACATGGCTTTGTGTGTGTAAATGAAAAGTGATCGAGCTCCCCAATACCATATCCATCAGAATTAATAACGCAGATTTAATTTACTCCCGGGAAATACATCCCCACCTCTCTCTCTCTCTCTCTCTCTCTCTCTTCTCTCTCTCTTTCTCTCTCCAGGCTCTCTCTCCCTCTTATTCCCTCTCTCATATACAACACATTTGAAGAACCATTTCACCATGCAAAGAACCATTTTAGCATACCATTTTCTTTACTAAAGAACCCTTGAAGAACCATCTTTTTAAGAGTGTACCATTGAAAAGGTCTCAGTATCTGCATCTATGTAGAACCAGAACACTCAAAAAACCCTTTGCTTGATTTAGTGGTTCTTTTAATAGTGAAATTGTTGATTGATGGAGAATGTGTTGTAAAAAGATTCAGAAAGGTTCTATATAGAACCATATACAACACACCCCCCATCACACTGAATAACCATTTCACTATGCAAAGAACCCTGTAATCATTCGAAGTGTTCTTTGAGTGTTCATAGTTCTATATAGAACCATTGTCTGTACTAAAGAACCCTCGAAGAACCATCTTTTTTAGGAGTGTACTGCAGGCAGAAATGGATGCACGGTGAGCATAAATGTGAAGGTAGCAAAATTGGTTAAGAGCACCAGTAGCAAGTGTATTTCTGTCTGTCGATCAGACGATCGCTTAGTCGATCAATAGTCATTCTGTTGACGCTGTCCTCTGTCCTGCTGGTTGCTCCTGACGTACGTTGTGTCTAAATATAGTGGCGCGGGGGCCGAGGCGGCGCGGCCCTGCAGAGTGAAGGCAGGTGTGTTAATCCTGATGACGGTGAGGAGAGTTTTTTACAGCTGGCTGTAGACGACAAGGTGAAGAAGAGAGTCTGCGTCCGTCTGTTAGTGAGAGAGGTTTATCACGCCTGTTACCGCCTCCATCCCTCGCCTTCGTCCTCCTTTCATCTCTTTCCTTTTTTATTTTTGCAGGAAATGACAGGTAATTACATGGGAAAGGAAGTCGAGGACGCCGGGTCACTTCCTGTGGTCGTCAGGTTTCCACAGCAACCAAACCCCAGTGTCGGTGGGCTTCGGAGGCAGAAGAGAGACTGGGTCATCCCCCCCATAAACGTCCCGGAAAACTCACGAGGACCTTTCCCCCAGATGCTTGTCAGCGTAAGTCTGATTATTTGTTTGTAAAGAAAAAAAATATATATATAAATAGCAAAACAATACAGCACCACCCAGAATGACTGACATCCATGGTAATAATACTAAGTTACATTTAATAAGATAAAAGTGTCTTTGTTGTTTATGAATATTGACATAACCCTACATAAATGTTTATAAATGTTTATTCTAATAGCGTCTGTCATAAAGGCTACTTTAGCTAACTTTGATCAAAACTGGCAAATGTAACCTTTATAGCAAATTATGCCTATTGGAATGACCATTTGTAAACATTTATGTAGGGTTATGTCAGTTGTCATAACAAGCTTATGTAGGTGTCATATAGCTTTAGGAACAGAAACCTACAGTAAAGCGTTGCTGAAATGTCTTCTTAAGAACAGTTAGTGAGGGAAGCTTCATCTGTTTTAAGCATGTAAGCCGCACAAAAACGGTCTGTTTTGAATACGCGGTTTCTGTAATGTGACAAAAACCAACACGTTTTGCGTACAGTCGTGTGAAGTTTGGGCATGAAAATTAGTTTAAAAAAACTGTACATTTTAATGCACCATTACTGTTTATTACTGAATTGATAAAAATACAACACGTCAAATATGCAAAGGGTTAATCATGCAAAGGTTTCTTTGAGTGTTCTTGGTTCTATATAGAACCACTTTATTTACTGAATAACCCTTGAAGAACCATCTTTTTAAGTGTGTTGTAACAATGGAAGAACACTTTTTGGTGCTATGTAGAACCCTTTTTAAAAAGGTTCTATATAGAATCATCTACAGCACATTCTACATCAATTTGAAGAACCGCTTCACGATGCAAAGAACCCTTTAATCATGCAAAAGGGTTCTTTGAGTGTTCTGGTTCTATATAGAATCATTTTATTTACTAAAGAACCCCTAAAGGCCCATCTTTTTTAAAGAGTGTAGGGTAAGACAGGATAAACTAAGGTAAGGATTGCATTTTTGTTTGATCTTGAAAGACCAAGTAAAAACAGATATAATTTAATATGAATTTGATATAAAAATCATATTTACATGTGTGTAAAGTGTGCAAATTGTGGGGGGCTTACATCGCATTTATCATTTATCTTAAGATCTTCGTGATTTTTTTGTCATGAAGAATAAAAAAACAAATGTCAATCATTTTTCAAATCTGATTGTATGCGTCTTTCTATGTGTTTTGGATCCAATATAAAATATATGATATATTTTATCATATAATTGTCAGGTCATTTAAGTGACACGCTATAAAAAAAAAAAAACACTGACATAGTAAACATTTCTAATGTAGTACATAAAGGCAAATCAACAGCATTCAAAAACAGCCAAAACAGCCCAAGACTCACAAGGGTTAAAGATGTGCTGTTTTCTTATGACAGCAATAAATACACCACAATATAAAGCAGTCACTGTAAGTATGTGATCCATCCAGTTTATAATTCTCTCATAACTCTCAACGAAGGCTTATATTTCTCTCCTATTTTCAGTGTCAGACTAATAAACAACAAAGACAGCCTTTTTTCTCTCGTCTTTACCAAGGGTGCCAATAATTCTGTGCAGTCTGTGTGACTGTATGGAGCCACATAGATCTTTCTCAATTGGGCAATTGAATCCCACTCATCGGATTACCCTGGACCCAGCTGTATGGATTTTTTTATTGTTTTTGTATCTGACTCGAGGCATTTTTGACGTTTGCTGGAGTTCACAGAGGAGAGGGTCATCCAGAGAGCTCTGCCGCTGCACGGCCTGCAGGGCTGCAGCATAGCCTCATGGGAATGCATGCAAGACCCACGCTAAGCAGCTTAGCATATATTAGCCGCCCCGTTCGCTAGCTCTCGTAATGAAGAGGCTTTGGAGGTGATTAGACTGTGTCACCCTGATGTGATTATGGCTGTGTTGTGATGGTCTACTGCAGGAACAAGAGAGTGTGCTTCAGCTGCGGCTAAATGGGGAAAAAAAAGCTTCTAAATCAGTGACTTCCTGTCCTGGCTTCTGGGACGTCCCACACACAAAGCACACCCACATATTAACCATAGCAAAAATTCAGATTTACAGATTTTTGTATGATTTTCCCATTTATGGATCATCTCACTGAAGTCAGAGTTGAAACCACATTTTGGATTTTTTAACTGTCTTCGATTTATTAAAACAATCATAACACTACTAATACTTTACTAAATGTTTCAGTAGTGACAATTCTCAATGTTTCACACTGATTTTCATGCTTAAACATTTATTTCAAAACAATGGGATCTAACTGCTCATGATGTGGCCATGAGGGACAGGAATGCAGTCTTATTTCTAGCTCTAAAATCCACGGGCGTGGCTAAAATAAGCCTCCGTCTACCGATAAAAACTTTGTGTTTCGAAAGTGACAAACATTTTTTTTTTATTTAAATGTATCATTATTGATAAATATAAACGTTTCAACTTAAATAAGGAAAAACACTTTTATCCTTTACTTTTGTGAGCCATTGCTGAAGCAGTATTCTAAAGTCATACTGTATCTTCCTTGGCCAATAAAACCAAAAACTACACAAAATACTTTTAAAAGCTGTTTAACTCAGTATCCACTACAATTAACAATTTGGTAAAAGAAAAAAAAGTGCAGTAACAGTCAACAGATCAGTCAACATACAGGCCTAGTAAGCTCCCCAGACAAAAAATTAGACACCTTGCATGTTTAAGGTGGTAGTAACTTCCGGCTGCTGCAGATGGCGTTGCTCGAGAATAATCGGCCTATAAATCCCTGCAGGGTGGGTGAAGGGATTCATGGATTGAGAAGAGGTGGTACAGTGCAGTGAATGTCCCGTTCGATGTGTGGAAAAAGGGTCGCAAAGCAGATGTTAATGATTGGAAAAAAGGAGTGATTGCATTTGGGCGTGCCAAAGGCCACAGTGTGAAGGAAGTAGCCTAATTTGCAGGTGTATCGAAGCGTACGGTCATACAGGTCAACCAGCAGTGGCAAAATTCCAGTCTACAGGAAATTTTTCTCAGAATTGTGGCCGAAAGGCGAAACTGACTGACAGGGATTGCTTCACTTCCAGGCAGTAACTGCTTCTAGAAGTCAATGCAGGTCCTTCACAACCAATTTCTGAAAGAACACTGCAAAGGGAGCTGCATATCATGAAAATATGGAGCAGAGTGGCACGCAAGAGGCCTTTGTTCACTTCTGCTCACAAAGTTGCCCGGTTACAGTGGGCGAAGAGACACAAAAACTGGACCGTTCATGACTGGAAACATGTTATCTTGTCAGATGAATCTCGATTCTGCCTGTATGTGAGTGATGCCTTCAATGAGGACTGCATGCAAGGTGTGGTTCAAGCTGGAGGAGCTCTGTGATGTTCTGGGGGTGTTTTAATTTCATTAAAACGGGTCTTTTGGTTGAGGTGACCGTAAATTTGAACCACAGCGCCTACACTGAGGTGCTGGACACCCAGGTTTTGCCTTTTGCTGATCATCTTACCGAGGAACATAACATTCCTATCCCTGTATTCCAAGATGATAATTCTCATGTTCACAGGGCTGCAAATGTGACCGACTGGCATGATGAACATTCAGGAGCATTCACACATTTGAATCCTCTTGAAAATCTGTGGGACTACCTGGAACAAGAAGTAAGACACCACGGAAGGCATCCACGAAATCTGGCCAAACTGCACAATTCTTTGATGCGAGAGTGGCTGAACATTGATGTCCCTTACATCCAGAAACTTGTCCAGTGCATGCCAAATCGAATCACAGCTGTTATTCGTGCTCGTGGAGGTATTACATGCTATTAGGTACGTTTCAGTTTTTGTCCCGAGAGCTTATTTGGTTGAACTATAAAACATGGACTTTCAGCATAAAGTTCTCTGTTTTGAGAAGGTAAATACATAATGAACGTTATCACTCATACAACTAAGGTTAGCTTTCTGGTGTGTTGCTTACAATACTTGCTTTATTGATATGTTCCTTCCATTTTGTAGCTCGAACGCATGGAGATCGAAAATGACACAATTCCGAGATCCAACTTCCAGCTTCCGAGCCATGTTAAATGCAGCATAAGGCCTGGAAAAATCTCTTGAAGGGAAAAGTGCTGTTGTTTAGCAGCTTGAGCCTTTTCATTTCCATATTACTATTCAGCACGAGCCTCGCACACTTTTGCATTCCTGCTGGATCCATGAGGGGAGCCACACGAGGATCTTAGATTGCAACAAATTACATGTCAGCAAAAAGTCGCAAGTTTTTGCAGAGCATGAAGGATAAACAGCATGTTGAAGCACAGAGTGGAGGGTTTGTTGTGAATTTGTAGGAGCTGTTAAGAAACAAAAAAAGGAGCATGAATAAATAAAATCTCCCATAAATATTCGTCTTTGGCAGGTCTTTGTGATGTCATTTGATTCCTGAAAAACATCACAACCCAAAGGCTCCTTTTGCGCTCGAGCTTTTTTAGTGTTTAGTGTTTAGTTTTGTTGTGTTTTTCTTTTATCTATTTAGTATCTTCACACACTATCTTTTGTTCTTTGTGGAGTCTTTTACAGTTACTGTACTGGCCTCTTTTTTACGTTTGTTTTGTTTTTTATTTGTTCAGATACTTTTACATCATCCTTTGTTATTCTCTTCTTAGAGTCTTCTGCCACTTTTTGGTAAATATTGCAGAAGAAGCACTTTTTGTCTGCTCTTTCCTCCCTCTTTCTCTTTAACTCTCTCCAGCTCTTGTCTCATCCCAGGGGGCTCGGTGGTCAAAGAAGCCTTTCTGCCTTTGTTGTAGAAAAAGGAGAAAGGAAAAGAGAGAAAGAGAAAGAGAAAGAAAGCGAGAGAAGTGTTTTTAAGTATCTGTCAGGCTTCCATGGGGTTCCTTGTTAGAACCCAAAGCTGCAACTCCTCAGAGAAATGGCCCTCTGCTGTGTGGGGTCAGTTGAAAAACCTCTGAGAAGGAAGAAAGAGAGAGAGCAAGAGAGGCCGAGTTAAAGAGAAATCAAAGGCATGTTTCAGAAGCTTGAACGCGGCCAG